AACAAATAGTCAAATGAAAAGCCAAGAGAAAATCAGGAAGAACTAACCATGTGAATGGAGTAGACCTTTCAGTTGCTCATAAACTGTGAAATACACCTACATATAAAATGAGAATTCCTGTCAGTATGTAGAAAATGGTGTTTTGCATCATTTGCTAAATAGTTAAAGGAAAACAGTGTTTTGCATCATTTGCTAAAGAATTCCAGAATTCCAGTCAGTATGAAGGAGGCAAAGTTTTGCTTTAAACCATTCACCAAAAGAACAATGCCTAGGACTTGATCAAATCCTCTGAGGAACGCACACAACACAGCCATGCATGGTAGTTAAATATCACTTAACTTGTGCCCAGTAATGCTCATTTCAACCTCCCAATTGGTTAAGGGGACCAGAAAAAGGAATTTTGCATCTAATCTAAAAGGCCATTTTACATGACAACTTAAAAGATAATGCATTGGTTAATTTTGAAGTAACTTTTGGAAAAACAAAATTAGCATTCACAACATGAAACCTCTTCCAAATTTACGTAAGGATAGAATGCCCAATCCATGTTCTAAATTACATGACTTCTAAGTTTCTCCCAATCAGTTGCATCTTCAGCACCCATAGCATTATATGGAAAAAATATATATACTCACAGCCCAGTTTGGAAGTAGAGCAATTATTGTTGGTGAAAGCCCACGGTACAATCCCTTGAAACCTTCATTCTTTACTATGTTCTGTAGACTTGTAATAATGACACTACCTGAGTTTGGGAGAAAAAAAAAAGAAAAAATTGCCCATCAGCAAATGTAGCATCCATCATATAAGCCAATCATGAACTTATATTCTCAAATCTCAAAATCCATACTTTAGATGTTACAAATGCAGTCTAAATTCCATCTGCCTAGATGTTAGTCTCAATTTATCCACCTAACATGCAAATTCACAAACTCACATCATCAATTCTCTAACTTAAACAATATTCTCAACCCATCCAGTATCATATAAGCAAAAAATTCAAGCCAAATACTTCTAGTAGCTTGTTTACGCAGATAAACAACATTAATTCAAAGGCACAGAATCCGCCATACCTCTAGGACCAGACTGAGATGCTTTGGGGAGGCCATGGACCTGTAATCTTGTCTTAATTACATCTAAAGGGCACACAAAAGTTGCCGCAATTGCACCTAAAATTCACATTAAAAAAAAAAAAATAAATAAAGACACCCATTAACCAGAATTCGCCAAAATTAAGAAAGCTACTAACGCTTCACTATGCAGGCATCAATCACAGACACAATTTCTCATCGGATTCATAACCCAACAAGAGAATTGACAAAACCCTAAAACACAAAACAAAAATGCAGTGCTTTAAGCAAAGCTAACCCGCAGTGGCACCGGCGCCGGCATGGCAGATGAAATCTCTGGTACTCTGAAGATGGGATGATGATGATGATTGCCGTTGCCCACCTCCACTCATCTCTTAAAACCCCTCAAAAAAATTTCCAACTTTTCACCAAATACTAGGCGAGAAACCCCATCCGAGATCTACGTATATATACAAACACAGAGACGCAGAGTCAAATAGCTTTTCTCTGCTACCGCGTTACAACTGACCAAAACATTCTGCCAAATTGAGGCACCTTGTTTGAAGGGGCGGTGAACAACGAACGTGTTGGACAATTGGGTTGAAGAATTCTTGCGTTCGTATGAGGAGAATCGTTCGATTATTTTATTGTTGGAATTTCGCTGTTTCTTGGTGCGATTGAAGCGGAAGATAGAAATATCAATGAAACATCACCCGGCGACTCTGCGCTGTAATTTAATTTTTCCTCGATTTGTCTTAAAAAGGAAGCTGCAGAGAAAGGCTGCAACTTTTACGTTTGCTTTTCCTTCTTTTGTCTTCGATCTAATGGTTGAGGACTTATAAAGGGTTCATAGATAGAAACCATTCCTTCCTTCCCCTGATAAATATGCTGAAGTAGTTGTTAAATAATATATTTTTAATTTTATTTTTTTTTCATTATGTTAAATATGCTGAAGTAGTTGTTAAATTTTTAAGAAAAACAAAAGTTTAAACACTCGAATAAATTTAAAGTTGATTTTTAAATTAAATTATGTAGTCAAATTTATTTATATAGTAACGATATTAAAATTAATATAATTTTTATATATTTTTATATAAATTTATAATAAAAATATAATCTTAACATATATTTTAGAAAAACTTTTAATTTACTCTTAATAATTTTTTTTTTATATTTTGATTTATTAATACTAGTAATATTTATCAAGTTTTTTAATTATCATTTTTGATATTTTAATGGTTAAAATATCATGATTTTTTATTATTATTAAATTTTTATTCTGATTTTCGTACATTCCAAAATTTTTCATAATAAAAATAAAAATATATATTTTACGTTTTCAACTGCGATATAATATGACTGGGTTTAAAAAAAAAGAACAAAAAAGGAAAGTAGGAGGAGGGGAAGATTTGTTCCAATACATATGGGCCTTTTTGCCCAAGAAAAACTATAAATGGGTTTTTCGGGTATGATGGATTCGCATTTAGCCCAGGTAAAAGTTTGGGCTTTCGACTCACTCTTATACTTACGTTCGTAACTTTGTATTTGGTAGTATCTCCTGCCAGTAGTGAATGCCAACGCTCCCTGTCCTCATTTAATTCTCCAGGAGAAGCATCTGGTACTACAGCTACATTTGTAATAGTTGACGGATGGACTGTCACAGCTGCTTCTGTTGGAGATGCACATTGTATTTTAGATACTCAAGGCGGTTCTGTTTCCACCTTAACCGTTGATTAGCACAGAATTGAAGAGAATGTGGAAGAGCTTGTGTGTGAGGGCCAGCTAAAATATTTCTCAATCTGTGAAATTTGTTCGTAGAATTCGTTATGTTGAATATGCTGAAGTATGCCTAGTAAAACTGCATTGCCTTCTTAAAACATGTCATTTTATTACATGTTCTGCAGCCTAGGAAATGATGATGCCTTGAGGCTAGGGGTGGGCAAAAATCGGTTTCGATTAAAATTGAAACTGGTTTTAAAATAATCAAAAAAAATTTTCTCTAATTTTGAGAATCGAAACCAAAATTTTTACAAACTGATTGGTTCGGTTACCAATAAAATCGATTTGGTTTCGATTACCAATAAAATCGGTTTGGTTTCGATTTTTGATAAATAAATATTAATCAATTATTTTTCTAATAATAGATTATATTTTATCAGATATATTATCATATTTTGTTATATTTTGTCATATTTATCATAATTTTGGTTTTAAAGGAGCGAATTTTTAGTTTTTGATTTTTAAGAGACTCAACCGAAACCGAATTGAAGTATATTTGGTTAATACTAAAATCAAAAAAACCAAAAACCAAAAACCATTGAAATCAAACCGAATTCATTTTTTTGGTTCGGTCTTTGAGTAACTCATCGGTTTGGTTTCAAATGCCCAGCCGTACTTGGGGTAATCAATTTCTGGTCTGTTCACATGTGCCGTAGGGCAGGTTGACCTTGCTTCAAGTGAGAACATATCAGTTCACACTGGTTCCATATTCTTCATTAGCTCAAAGCTATGGCAAGGGCCATTTCTTTGTAATGTAAATGTGATTAGTGATTCAATGAGTGATGCATGTATAATGAATCTTGACAATTAATTGCCCTATTTTACATTTAATTTTTTAAAAAAATCACAAAAGTTAAGCTTATTTTAATTATTAATGTCACATGAAAGTTTTTACTTGATTAATTAATAAAATTAAAGTTCAATTTTAATTATTTTAATACAAATTAATAACTAAAAAAACATAATTAAGGCACCCTCGATCTATCTCCTCATGTTAGAAAGATCAGTTTTTTTAATTTGTCTAACATGTGCTTTTTAAGAATGTATTAATTATATCTTTTTAAATTTAACTTTTATAAAAAAAGTCAAAAAAATTGATCTTATTTTAATAATCAATATCTTGTACAAACGTTTAATTAACAATTAATAAAATTAAAATTAAAATTTAATTTTTTAATACAAATTAATTATAAAAAAATATAATAAATATATTCCTATTCCATATTTTTAAAACATATACAGATTAGAAATGTTCTATTTTTTAACCCAAGAAAAACGTTGCCTTGTTTTTCTAACTTGGCCTGCACGTTTAGACCAGAGACTTTTTCCGTTTCCTTTTCGTGCTTACCAAACCACTTTCTGAAGTTTCGGTGAAAATGTTCTGTTTTAACTTGGAATAGACCATCTTGACTTTGCTAGTAGAGTTTCTACGGATAACTAACCAATTAATTAACTATATTCCTTCTTTAAGTCTGTTTTCTGCAAGATCATAGATTTAAAGGTGTGTGCGAATTGTCACCATCTTTTAATCTTGCTTTATCTTTTATCAATTCAATGTGCAAATGGGTTAATCGGAAAGCCTACATGAAGCATAATCCTTCATTGTGTCTTGCATTAGTAAATTTTTTTAAAAAATTTATGCAGCAATCAAGGTATAATTTATTAAGAGAATGTTAGTTTACCGTCTAACCTGAGTTAGAATATTAAAAATTAATCATTTATTTTAAAGGAACAAGACTCTACATTTATAGGGTCTTTTTCAATCTATAATTATAATTTTGTAGTTTACACGACATTTTTAAGATATGATAATTTTTTAATAAAATATAAATTTTATTATTAAAACTTCTACTATACACAAAGTAGCGCTTTATAATATAGGTTGCTACCAATATGTATATATAAAGAATGAATCAGCTATACAAAAAGGATATATCAATTTCTGCACAAAAATTTTAATCTCCATTTTGAGGCAATATTGCTAGTCATAGGGTAGGTTTTCGCTTTGGCAAAACCAAGTACCTTGTCATGGATGTCTACTTGTATTTGACTTACAATTATAAACTCACTTTTAAATGATTGTTTGTAAATTCTAGTATTTTTCTCTATCCATATATAGTATATTACTACGAACCATGCTAACCTTAGAAGACTGCTATATAATAGTTTCCGTTTGGCCTTGTGACATAACCAAGACAAAAATGACTGCCAAAGAGCATGTGGATGGAATTTCTAATATGGAGGAAATAACATCCCAGACAGCACTAGAGTAATCAACCACTGAATTTCTAAATTGCTATATATGATATGTTAATTTGTATCTTGCACTAGCAAAAATCAACCACTGAATTTCTTCAAGGCAAGCAACCAAGTTGTTAATTTTATGCAAAGATTTGTCTTTCGATGTTTAACCCACCTTCCTCGCATTCAGTCTGTTGACCCCAAGTCTTCCCATCCAAATCCCAAGTCAACTGTTGAGAATATTTGTAAAAATAATAAATAACGGAGTATAAAGGAGCATGGCAGAATCAAGGGATATAGGTCAGTTTTTCTAGTTTGGGATTTACAAAAGACACCTGGTTTGTTCAGAGGGAACTTAGCTCCTTCTATCTGTTGTTATTCTGTTGTCTTTGTTTGTTCTTGAATTTGGAATCTCTCTCCTAATGCCTCCTGCTGCTGTATCCTTGTTTCTTTTTCTGGTTCTCACCTCTCTTGAAATTCTTCTTTCTGCTGGCGAAGAAGAGCGGGGGCCTAAAAACTGCCCGCCCTTTAAATGCGGTAATTTTACTGCACCGTGGTTCCTTTCCACTGTTAGTGGAAATTTAAGTGCACCTGGGTGTGGGATTTTCCTAATTGATGGGTGCAATGAAACAGTTCAGAAGATCCAACTGGAGAAGGGAAGAGGAAGATGGTATACACTTGAAGGAATGTCCCAAGGGGAGAGGTTATGGGAGAACAACATTACCATTCAGGATGATAAGCTTTTACAATCTCCTGATTGTCAATTGTTTTCCAATTTGCCTCTTTCCAACTCTACTGGTAACTCTTTCCGTATTCTTTCCGCAGTTGCTATTCTCAATTGTAGCAAAAGCCATCGAAAAAATGCCATCCCCGAATACTTCACTCACATAAACAGAAGCTGCAACAACCGCAGTGTATACTATAGGATCTATGATGCACCTCTTGATACCAATTTGAATGTACCTTCGACTTGTTCTCTTGTATTTGATTTCCCACTTAAGAACCTCCCTTCATACAACAAAGACCACTTTACACCATTGCCTGCCAACTTATCCATACGTGTTGAAATCCACCTTCCTGGTCTCGATCATGATCCTGATCTTGATCCTGATCCTTGTCATGTATGTCGAAAAGATGGCGGATGCTCAAGTCATTGTTCCAAAAACAGAAAAGGTAGGAGTATCGACTTAAAGCCCGCATCCGTAATTGTGCACATGATGTATGTTGGTCTGTCCGAATATATTGTTTCTTACATTTTTCTGTTTTTGATCCTTTCAGAGGATAATAACAATTAGTTTTTTGAGCATCTTTCTTCTTCACTAACTCTGCATTTCTTTGTAATTTTCATTGCAGGGAAATTAGCATTGAAGCTAGGAGTTGGTAATATATCCCTTCAACATCTCTTATTCTTGGCAGCATATGTTTCTCTAAATTGGATTTTGACCACTCAACATTCTTTCTAGCGCAGGATTTGCAGTTTCAACTGTTGTTCTAATAATCATGTCTATCCTTATCGTGCGGGTTCGCTCCAATGAACAGAATTATGGCTCTTCAAACCTTTCACGTGGGGGCAACGTCAACTTGAAGAAAAAATATTGTAATGATATTGAAGCTTTCCTAAGAAGCAATGGGCGTCTGGCTCCGAAGAGATATAGTTTTAAAGATGTTAAGAAAATGACAAACAAGTTCAGAGATAAATTAGGTGAAGGAGGATTTGGGGCTGTTTACAAGGGGAAGCTATCTGATGGGTGTCAGGTTGCAGTGAAGGTCTTGAACAAAATGAAGGACAATGGGGAATCATTTATGAATGAGGTTGCGAGCATTAGCAGAACGTCCCATGTTAACATAGTCACTCTTTTGGGGTTTTGTTTTGAGGGTCATCAACGAGCTCTGGTCTACAAGTTTATGCAAAATGGATCTCTGGAGAAGTTCATTCATCAAGAAAATCCTTTGAACGCTGATAATCAACTAAAGCGGGAAACCCTATACAACATTGCAGTTGGCATAGCCAAAGGATTAGAGTACCTGCACCGTGGATGCAACATGCGCATTTTGCATTTTGACATCAAGCCTCATAACATTCTCTTAGATGATGACCTCTGCCCCAAGATATCTGATTTTGGCCTTGCTAAATTGTGCCCCCGAAAAGAGAGTATGGTTTCAATGACAGATGCAAGGGGAACGATCGGATATATTGCTCCGGAAGTATTTTTTAGAAGTATTGGAAGGGTATCCCATAAGTCTGATGTCTATAGTTACGGTATGATGGTTCTAGAGATGGTTGGGGAGAGGGAAAATATCAATGCTAAATCAGATCATAGCAGTGAATATTTCCCACAGTGGATTTACAGGCGTCTTGAATTGGATGAAGAACCTGGAATTTGGAGCATTACAAATGAGGATGATAAAGAAAGAGCAAGGAAGATGACAATAGTAGGCTTGTGGTGTATACAAACTAACCCCTCAGACAGGCCGCCAATGTGCAGAGTCCTGCAAATGTTGCAAGGGAACCTTAATTCCTTGGAAATTCCACCCAAGCCTTTCTTTTCTTGTCCACCGAGGTTACCCACTGAGGCTGATGTCAGTTCCCCAAGTTCACTGATTCCATCCCAGATACCATAGAAGAGTGATTTGATGATTGTTTTGTGAAGTGTTGCTTGATATTGTTACCTATTCAATTGAATTGTAATTGGAATTAGTACCTCATAAGGAAAAAAAAAGAAAAAAGAAAAAGAGAGTGTTTCTCAGCTATAACCAAAATATTCTAACACTAAAACTTCAATCTGTAATATCAATTAAATTAGGATAGCTGAAACCTATAAACTAGTTGATTTAAATAAGATAAAGTTTGGGCTTTGGATTCTCTTATACATAAGTTTGTATTTGTTAGTATCTCCCGCCAATTGGATAATGCTAATGCCCCCTGTCCTCATTTAATTCTCCAGGAAAAGCATCTGGTACTACTGCTACATTTGTAATAGTTGATGGATGGACTGTCACTGCTGCTTCTGTTGGAGAAACACATTGTATTTTAGATACTCAAGGTGGTTCTGTTTCCACCCTAATCGTTGATTAGTGCAGCATTGAAGAGAATGTGAAAGAGCTTGTGTATGAGGGCCAGCTAAAATATTTCTGAATCTGTGTAACTTGTTGGTAGAATTCATTATGTTAAATATGCAAAAGTATGTCTAGTAAAACCGCATTGCCTTCTTAAAAAATGCCATTTTATTACATGTCCTGCAGATTGGGAAATGATGATCCCATAGAGCAATCAACTTCTGGTCTGTTCACGTCTGCCGCATGCCTAGTTGACCTTGCTTCAAGTGAACGCATATCAGTTCACACTGGTTTTCCATATTCTTCATTAGCTCAAAGCCGTGGCAAGGGCTATTTCTTTGTAATGTAAACGTGATTAGTGATTCAATGTGTGATACTTGTATAATGAGTGTTAGCACCAACTTGGCACACAATAATGTCATGAGTATATAAATTTTTAAATATTATCTTTTAAATGGTAATTTAATTTAATTTAATTTAATTATTATAAACATACTACAAAATAATAAAATAATTATCTTTAATATTTATTTTTAACTAATTAAAATTAAATTATAATTTTAAGAATTAAATATATTAATAAATAAATAATGTTAATGTAAGCAATACGTCCTTATAATCTCTGACCATAAACACCAAAAAAAAACATAGCACAAATTTATAAATTAATATTTTTAAATATACTAATTAAAAACATATGAAAAAATATATAATTTATGTGGTATTGACACTTAACAACTGATGAACCGAACATAGCCAGGATTGGTGAATGCCTTCTAGGTTCTTCAACTAGGACGGTCCCACCACTTACCCACCCCCGTTCACTCCAAAGGTCCAGTCCTCGACTCCCACGTCATGATTCACTATTTTTTACTTATCTAGATCAAAGGATTTTTAAAAAAAAAATTTATACATTAAAAATATAATAAATATAATTTTTATAATTAATTTATATAAAAAATTATAAAAATTAATATTTATTTTAATATTATTCACATATAAATAATTTTAATTGATTAAACGATTAATTTAAAATTAATATAGATTTTTCTAACCTATATTATAAAGACCTATATTAAAAACTTAAAAAAAATAAATATTAACATTTAATTTATCATTCTTCCAATTAAATTTGTCTAAATAGCAATAATTTTGAAATTAATGTTAGTTTATTTATATTTATGACCAAAAACACTATTAACATGTACTCCAAAGACACATATTAAAAAAATTCGATTAATATTTATAATTTTCATACAAATTAATTATAAAAACTATATTAATTACACCCTTGATTTGTGCCTTTTAGGATATGGATTGGAAAATTTTTTCTAATTGTATGTTGGTGGAAAAGGGAGATGAAAAAAAATCGAAGTGCATATTCAACAATTTCATATCATTTTGTAATTTTTTTCTTTTTTTCTTTTCTTAATGACTGGGTAATTGTATGAGCTAAGATACATATCCTTCAAGGGGGTTAAATCCCATAATGGAAGCAAAATTTGTAGTAATTTGTTTTGAAATCTAGACTTAATCAATCAATCAATTCATTTTCAATTATCTGTGGAGGAATAAATTTACAAGCTAGAATTTTCGTACCTATACATCTCTAAACCTTACAGAAATTATCAACATTTACGATGTAATGATTGAGATGATTTTATATTTATAAAAATATCCTTTTAAGTCTTAACCAATAGCACTTGGGCCTTAAAGTTCAGTGATATTAGGTTACGTATAAATGTATTTTTCATTTTCAGGGCAATGATTCGAATCAAATCCCTTGTAAATTTGTTAAAAAAAAAAAAGTTTTAACCAATGAATTTTTAAATTTATAATTATTAATATTTTATATAATATTTAGAAATATTTACTGGATCAATATCTCTCACTTTGTTGATTAGATTTAATTTTTTAAGATTTTATCATAAATAATAATTTCCCTTTGAATACACTAGATGTGGATTAGCTACACCATTACTTTGTTTGACAATGTTTCTCATAAATCACTCTCACATCAAATCTTATCTAAAAACATAAAATTTTAATT